CCCCAAAACCCCAAAACCCCAAAACCCCAAAACCCCTAGTGAGAAGGTTAGGTTTGAAATTTGTTGGTAATATTATTTGATCTTTGATAATATTTAAATGGGAGTAGGATACTCAGGACCAAAGCCTTTGAAAGTCTTCTTTGATTATGGAACACACTTTGCAGTGGCTCTTGACTGAGCCAATTATCATGAAGGATCTAAGGCATCAGGGAACTTGACATTTACTCTGGATAGAAGCACTCCTTCTATTAGTGTTTATGTTTCAATTATTGGTTATGAAAATGTATTGTGGAGAAAAAGAGTGAGAAGAGGCAAGAACTCAAGAGTTGTTACATACAGAGATCATACTGCTGCTTGCAATCAAAAATTTATGGTCATGCAATCCAACGAAGGATTTTTGCCTGGAACTTATTCATATCCTTTCAACTTCCAAGTTCCTGCCAACATTCCTGGCACTTACGGACATGAAAGTGGCTATCACTCAAACAAAGCTCAGTGAAGCTGTACCTACACTTTTTACTGTGAACTTATAACAGCTGCTGAACCTATAGCTTTGTTAGGAAGGGCTGCCTGTCCAATAGTCATAATGCAGAAGGCAAGGACTCCATACAACTATGACATGAAAGCAGACATTACCAACAAAGTGACGACTTGATGTTGAGTCAACAGAGGAAATGTGGGCGTGCATTGCACTTTCGAAAAAGATGTTGTCAGGATAGACGAAGCAGTCCACATGAAATTCAGAATCGACAACTCTGATTGCAAAATTTCAATTTCTAAAATAAAAGCTACTCTTAAAAGAAAGCTGTTCTTAAAATGCAGAGATGGGTTATCCACCTACAGAGAAAATGTCATGATCGCACTTCCTTTGCCTGGATGTGCAGCAGGAGAGAAAATTGATGAGAAAGTTGTTAAGTTTGATCTAAACAAAGCCAGAGACATTGGAACTCCTGCTGGCCTGGCTGGATCTCTCGGAGAGTTTGCAGGCAAGATACAACAAACTTGTAATGGAAGCCTTATCAACTGATCTTATGAATTACATGTCACTGCTGAAGTGAGTGGTTGTGTCTGTTGAGAAAGTCATCCTTCTGTGTATGCACCAATTGAAATATTGGCACCTGAGAGAGTGCTAGTGTTTCAGCCAATGATATATGCACCTATAGGAGGAGAGGAGCTGCAAGCAGCACCAGGTGAGGGAGTCCCAGCTGAAGGTGCACCTTCTGGAGCTTACCCACCAGGAGGTGTTCCTCCTGGAGCATATGCTCAAGCTCCAGCTCCTTATCAAGCACAAGCTCCACCACCAATCCCTGCTCCATATGACCCCAGCCAACAATATACCAACCCAACCATCCCAGCGCCTCCTTCAATAGGCTCAGAAGCAAGCAAGGTAAAGAAGGTTGAGAATGAGGAGGATTCTCTTGAATAAAATCACCAGTAATTTCAAACCTAAAAGTCCTAATTCTCATAAAATTTTAGGAAATCTTAAATTTCTTTCTGAATATTATTTCAGAAATATATGAAAATATAATTTCTGTTAAAAAGAAGAAACTCAATAGATCCCTTCGTTCTTGGGGTTTTGGGGTTTTGGGGTTTTGGGG